TTACTTTTTACAAAGTAGTATTAGTATCATTGCTTTCCATTAACCATGGAACTTGCACAGGGGACTTCCACTGAGAGAGAGGAAGGAGAGAAGAAGAGGGAGAGGGTGGGAAATATATATATATATATATATATATATATATATATATATATAAAAAGAGAGAGAGAGAGAGAGAGAGAGAGAGAGAGAGGGGGGGGGAGAAGCACAAGAAAGAAGGAAAGAAAGAAAGAAAGAAGAAATGACAAAAAGTAAATAGTTTTTGTAGTATTAGCATTTAGACCTGGCAAGGCTTCACAGTGTAATTGATCTCAACTATCCACACAGACCCTATACTTTTTTCCTTATTGTTTTTCTAGAATGTTTTTTAAATGCCTCTATTAAGAATCAATATATCCCTACTCTGAAATTGACACATAAATACACATTAAAAGCCAAACAGAAAGTAACGATAAAAAACACACCTGGTAAACAACTAACTTTTAATTCAAAGGATACCAAGCAATAAAGGGTCTAGAATGAACATCCCAATTAGCCAGTGTAGTGACAAGCAGTCAACACCTTATTATTTAATCATTAAAGAGAATCTTGCCATAATTTTCCTTTGACATATTTCAGAAAAGGAATTAAGAAGACACCACACGACCCACAACAGCAATCAAAAGTAAAGTTAGATGATACTAAGACCCTATCACTTGCAAGGCTTGTGTACTGAGAGGTTTTAGGATTAAGTCATTAAGCCAGACCCTATGAAGCATTTACAATTTAAATAAGATCTATCCCAAAGTAAGCATTTAGAAACAAACTATCTGACAAAGGAACCATTTGCTGCTCTCCTGCTGTTTGGGTCCAGTTTTTAATTTTTTTTTTTTTATTTTTTTATTGGATGAAAATGAATTGCAGACATTTCTAACATTAGTAAATATCCGCTGGTCCCATCTATTTTTTTTTTTTTTCTTAAAGCAGCATATTCAATCCACGAAGGTCATTAGATTATTCCTCTCCTTACTACCCTTCCCTTACCATGAAATCCCCCTAGGATGACTCTCCATACTAGAGAGCCAGGGGACGTTTTCAATCAACTCCTACTTCAATTTTAGGAATTATAACCCAAAGTATGCTTTAGAAACAACATTCCGAACTTCAGAAATAAAACAATCGCCACCAAAGTTCCCAGGCCCTCATGGGAACCAAAGCGACTTGGCCTAGGTCGGCCCTAGATCCCCCAGGCCTGGAGCTCTCCAGCCAGGCTGCACAATACTAGCGGCTGCCCCCACCCCACCCCAGAAAGCCTGCCTACACTTGGCATTTAACCTGTCTGGCTAGCCTAGCCTTCTGGTTTCATCTCCATGAACCACATTACGTCTCCCCAGACGTCAAAGACAAAACTGGATTAACATGCAACAGGGCTCCCAGAGCAGGCCCAGCCCTGGACAAGGAGCTGTTAAATGCAGATTCAGACGAGGACCCCCAGGAGAGCTACTGTTAAATAAAAACTGTAATCCAAAGGGACCATTTATCTGCTTTCCGTTCCTTATGGGGAGAACCAAGGCCGCTGCTGATACCGAACACAGGTCCAGCTAATCTCGGCCCAGAGGAGGCGTGGCCACCCCAGAGGAGACCTTGCCCCCCACCACCCGGATAGTTGGCTTCTCCACTCTCTTCCTACCTGTTCTTGGAGTTAAAAAAAAAAAAAAAAAAAAAAATGCTTAGATTCAAGGATTGACGAGCAACAGACAACCCTGGGAAGGAAAGCGAGGGCTCCTTCCAGGAGTGCGGGCCAAAGTCTAACATCTGGGGTGCCAGGCTCTTCTTCGCCTAACCCTTTTGATGTCCTCAATTCCACGATCCTCCACCAGTCATGTGCTCCGCTCTTCTCCTTCCCTGACCCCAACCTCACCAAACCCTCGCCTCTCCAGGGCAAGGTGATCTCCCTCTGGGTCCGCTCCGGGGTGCCAGCCCGGCCCTCCACCCACACCGAAACTGTCAAGTCCCAGACTCTGCTAGCTGCCCCAGACCCTGGCTTTGGGGGAGTTTTAGTGCCGAGCCCGGAGCGCGGCGGTCGGGAGAGGGCGCCCAGGAGGCCCGCGGCTGCAGAAGGTGGCTCAGGCGGTGGGACCTCCGGGCGGCTTCCAAGACTTGGGGAGGGGGAGACAGCGGGGTGGGGGTGGGGGAAACTGGATTACAACTTCTACTGGGGTCTTAATCTGATAAAAAAAAAAAAAAGAAAGAAAGAAAAAGAAAAAGACCCAAAGACCCAAACCAACAACACTACATCGCCAAGTGGATTTCCTCCGACTTAGCCCTCTGGGAAACCGGCTGGTATCAAAGTCCTGGATCCCAGATCCCGGAGCGGTTGGCAGCCTTCGCGCCCTCCGAAGGGGAAAAGAAAAAAATAAAATAAAATAAACCATGCCGAGAGCAGGCCCTAGAGACAGAGGGATTAATGAGTTAAGGAGGCCCAGTGCTCGCACCACACCCGAAGCGTCCAGTGCGGGAGCGCACCCCTCTGCCAGGCTCAAACTGGCTGAGCCACATTCGCAGACAGGTGAAGAGGCCATCTTTTGGGATTTGGGCCCTAGAGTACCTTACTAGGTGTTCAACTCCCCTGGGGACGGGAACCAGGCTCCAGTCCGGAGAACTGGCGCCCAAAGGCTGCCCGGATGCTTGGACTTTCACTCCCCAGCTCGGAGAGGGAAGCCCACCCGCATCTGAGGCACAGTACCTCTAGCGCCCTGCACTCTGCGCTTGCCCTCTCCAAACCCAATCCAGACACACTGGATCCCGGCTTCTAGGAACCGGACAATAGACAGAAGGATTTGCTGCTTTCCACCCAACTGAGATCTGGCGTGAGCCCCCAGGGGTTACACTAGAGAGCCCACGCGCACAGGCCAACAGCGCCACGAGCCCAGCCAAAGCTGCGAAGCCCACTCTTAAACCACAGGGACTGGATGTACAAATCTCATTTTATCGATAGGAGAGGAGAACAAAACACAAATTTTCACCCAATGCAATTATGCACCAATCTTTGCATATCTCAAATTAACTGGGTAAGGAAAGTTTAGGAAAGGAGTAGAGGGACAACTCAAAGATGTTATATCAATTTTGTATCTCTCCCCGCAAAACCCCATAACTTTCGTTCTTTATCTTAGACTTTAATAAAATAATGATTCGTTGAGAAAATGGGGTATAAATCTTCATTTTGGAGGCAATTAAAGTGTTGATTTCATTCATGCCCCTAAGCAATTCTTGTAATTTGCTCAAATAGCTTTATGTACCCAGCACTCCGGAGCTTTTAGAATCCCATTTTCTAGTTAGGCTTGTTGGATTACAATTTTTATTCAACACAGCTACCCGAGGGTTCCTCAGCAGAATCTGCATTTAACAGCTCCAGGGCAGAGGGTTGAGCTAAGGGTGAGGCCCAGGAACCCCCAGGGTCAAGGCTGAGGTGCCTGCAGTTTTCCCACCTCAGCAGGGCCATGCCAGGATCGTTCTGTGCACCCGTCTACACTGCTCAAAGTTTCTAACTTGCCCAGTAGTAAGGAGGATCCAGTGTGTTGGTGTTTTAAAGCTCTGCTCTGCCGTACCCCTCACGGGCAAAAGGAAGAATTCAGTCTAGGACGTGGGGCTTCCCAGAGAAAGTCAAGCTGGACATTTATTACTAAGAAGAAGATTTTGAGAGAAGAAAACCTTAAGATGATACCAAGAAAAAGACAGCGGCTGGCCAACAGTGATTACTGCAGAACTTGCAAAGGAAAACTGTTGGAGTAGCTGGCCTTTGGCTTAACAAAGACAAGCAGATATCTTCCCCCCCAAAAGGGATTCACATGGCAAATCCCAAAGAGAAACAACTCTGGGCCTTCATTGATATGGGGGTGGGGAGTGGGGTGCAGAGAAGGCTGCAATCCAAATCTCTAGACGCCTTACAACAATTCTCAGCAGAGCGGTCCTGGGCCCTGTTTCATCTCATTCACTCCTCACATTTTCACTTTCATTGAATTTTTGCAACTCATTTGACCCAATCCAGAGACACGATGGCAGAAGAGAGAGAAACTGGGAGCAAACAGTAGTGTCAGGGTGACGGAGGGAGAGAAATACCGCCTCCCCCCAGCAACTCCAAATGAAAGTAGTCCCCACTTAGCAATACCCAGCCAGAAAGGCCCTGAGGGAGGACGCCAGAGGAGGGGGTACAGCAAGCAGAGAATCTTAGTACAGAGCAAAGACAGAGCAAGAGCCCCCACCCTCCACACCAAGGGAGCCACCAGGGTGTCCCTGACGCTGACACTTCCAAAAGCTGCCAATCCAGAGGGCCCAGAGCACGTACCAGCTGGAGGATGAGTGGAAAGGAGGAGGAGAAAAGTCCATATTTATCTGTTTTTCTAACCTCGGCCTGGTCTTATTTTTTTCTATTAAGTACAATAAAATGGGCGAGCTTGCAGCGAACACCGCACAAAGCAATGTTCAGTGAGGTCTAGAAGCGTTCGGCCGAGGAAAACTGACAAGACAGGCTAATGAACCGTACAGACAGGGAGAAAATAGCCAGCATTTGCTAGATTTCAAACCCTGGCCGTCTCTCTTAGACCACCTATCTTGGATTTATTCCTAATAAAATAAGAAATAAGCAGACCCTACACTTTTCTTTTCTTCAAGATAGAAGGGGGAAAATGCTCATGAACAAAGCCCTACAATCAGAGGCGGTCACTGGCAGTTAACACTCCCATTATTATAGAGGGTAAATAAAATAAAGACAAAAATTAAAAGCGACAAGAAACAGGTCAAGTTTGCAGCCAAAGCTTTTACAAGCTCATCTCTCCAGGTCGAATCCCAGAGCCAGCCTTAATGAAGCAATAATAGCCACATTATTCAAAAATTTTCATTTCGATGGAAATGTATCTAAAAGGGACTTAATCATATGCAAATAATAAAAGGAGGTGGTAGTGACCCAGCAAGCAATATGCATACAGATTTTTTTTCCACGGATGTTGAAATTGAAAAGCGCATACCTGGTCGGTTAGATTTGCTGATCTTGTTATATCTTCACTGTCTGATTTTGATCCTCCTTCTCTATCGTCTATCACCAAATCGATAGGCATTTTCCCTTTCAAACAGCTAATATACCGGTGGCAGAAATTGTCACATAATTCGTGTACCTACATTATGACAGAAATAAAAAAATGGAAATATAATCAGGAGTGCATAAATGACATTGACAAGTGCAATCCACCCCCCTTGTGAGATCCAAACTTCCAAATAGGGGAAACACAGGGCAATTGTCCTCCAGAGACCCCCAGACGCATCCAGAATTAGGAATAACTTTCTTTTCTTGCAAAATAGAGATATCCCAGAAAATTGACAGTGACAAGATGATTCACAGGCTACAACATATTCAACACCCGTGTTAAATTCATCTGCTCCTGGGGCTGTGGCCATTAGAGAGGTGACCTGCGTGGGTGACATTTAAGGTAAACTATTTAATTTCACCCAGTTACTTTACCATAAATTCTTTCCCAAAGTGTCCAAGGAAAAAATGTGAGTGTGTGTGTGTGTGTGTGTGTATGTGTTTTCAAAGGATATGTGCTATACTGACATAGGATATATGCCTGACAACTAAAGTCCCTATAATATTTATAATTATTAGAGTAACCATCCATAAGGAGCATCTCTTAGGGTATTTCCTTTTAAAAGAGGGGGAAATCAAGCTGCTGATACTCATGATATTTTTTAAAAAACACAGTCATAAAAATGTATCAAATTGATTTAAAAAAAAAAAAAGAAAGAAAGAAAGGAAAGAATGACTCAAAATAGTTAGGTGTAAGTGAAGCGGACCCTTACAGGCCCCAGGCACAACTGACAAGCAAAAATTCACAAGAAACCCCAGCGTGCTTGCAATTTAATGTTAGTTTGAATTACAATGCATTAAGTTTTTATTGCTGAGATTTATAGAACAGCTAGCAAAATCATGTTATCCCACACCCTTTCTTGAGTGCGAAGGTGGGGTGTATGCATGATTCGCAGATTCAAGAAATTGACACAACTATCAACCCTGCTTTGTCTCTGCAAAAGGTTTAATGTGCCTCCCCCACCACCTCCTCCAGACTCCTTGCCCACACCTCCTCCTCCCCCTCCGCCTCTTCTGTGCCTGACCTGCTGCTGCTCTCAAACTGTCTTCCAGAAACTCAGTAAAACTAAACAAAACTTTTCCCTCCTCAGAGGTAGCAAAGAAGAGGAGGAAGAGGAAGAGGAAAGACCACAGAGATATTAACGAGGAGCAAACTCAGAACAGCATTCTATCCATCAATTGGGATGCAAAGAATAGCAACTATTTAACAAAAAGCCAGCTAGGTATTAAGAATGAACACAAGGCTAAGGCATTTGTGATCCCGGTTTTAGTGGTCGAAATTGTAATTAAACTGCGAAGAGAAATGGACACTGAGATTGGCCTTGACACTAATTACCAGAAAGAAAGACATTTATGCAAATGTCTCAGAAAGCCTGAACTTCGGCCATTTTCAACCCTGCCATTGGTGTATTTGGGGGTGAGAGGGAAGTAAAGGGGAAAGAGGCTAGAGATGATTACCTTCTCTAATTCCAACAGATGAAACCTTAATACTTGTATGGCTTGAATCATCTGCAAAGATACAAAAAGAATGAGCACCTCATTCCTGGTTTGCAGAAAATTGGCTGTCACAGCTCTAGCATCTCCACCCCCACCACCCCCCAGTAAACAGAGTTATTTTGATTTATGGCAATAACACTAAAACTTAATAGCAACGACTGGGTACCATCTAGAGGTTTATATTTCTTAAGGAGAAAAAAAGAGCTAAAACAACAACAAAGCGTCTAAATGGGGATCATAAACACTCTCTTCCCCTTGCAGCTCTCTCCCCTTTCTGTCCCACCAGCCCCACCCCAACTCCAAAGGGCTCCTGCCCTGGGCTAGATGTTTCCTTGGAAGGAGTGAATGAAAAATATTCCAAATTGCCCCCCCCCAAATCGTAGCTTTTCACATTGCAAACTTTCTGCTGCCTTCTGTACACCTCTTGGGCAAACTGGTGGTTTGGGGGGCTTTTGCTCCGGTCGCTGCCCTCGTGACAAGACTTTGAGGGCTGGGAAGTCCGCAAAGTTTAAGCACACACGCTGACAGGCCCGGAGATAAATCCCCGCGCTGATTAGAGTTGCACAGCCGTGCTGTCATAAAAAACAAAAGCTCGCGTTTCCCTGAGCCGGCTCGCCCAGGCCCTCTCGAGATGAATTTATTTCCCCGGGACCTTGTCCCCAACCACTTATTCGTGGATGGAAAACGTCTGCAGCCTACTTGCAGCTAAGGGAAAGACCAGTCTAGAAACCTCAGGACTCTCAAAGCAAAGCTGAAGGGCTGGGCTGCGATGGGGGTGGTGAGGGGAGGAAAGGGTCATCTCTTACCAAGTTATCCAGTTCTGGATTAGAGGAAAATAGAGGTTTTTCTGCGCGAATCTAGATGCAAGTGAGAAGGAGAGGAGAGAAGGAGGGGTTGGGGTGGGGGGGGGGGGGAAAAAAAAAAAAATTGAAATCTGGTCACCTTCCTAGTTTCTTGCCTCATTACCCTGTCGGGGGCAGGATGTAACCTCCGGGAGGGACTCGGTGACTCTAGTTCGTCCCGCGCGCAGAAACACTTCAATGTGAATCAAATAAGCCGAAAACAAGCCCAGAGCTCAGTCTTATTTCTACTCAACTACACTGCTTGGGGACGCTGCTCAGCTCGCCAAGCCCAAAGCCCCTACATCGCGTGATGTTCCTGATTTTATTTCACAGAGTGAGTTTTCTGCGTTAGTTTATGGATGGTGAATAGGTGTGAAGATGGGTAATTTCAAGTTACCCGCAAACACACACTCGTATAGGAGGAAAATCACAGAGGATGCAATCGCATGGCTTAGGGTCGACTATTTGCTGGCTACTTTTGAAAATGTACTGGCTGTATGTGTTCAGGGGTAATATGTTCCTTTTGGTTTCTTTTACTTTTTTTTTTTTTTTTAACATTTATTTTGCTGACCTGTTTGGCGAACACGGCTATATCTTCATTGAATGACTCTGACGAGCAGACGTCCCCGCCCGCCACCCCCGGCTCGCGGGGGGTACAAGTAGCTAATTCACATTTCTCAAAAATCAGTGCTAAGAGAGGGAAGAGGGGGTGTCTGCAAGAAAATACAACAGTCACAAACAACACAATGGTTAGTCCCTAATCAGTGAAAAAGGAGCCCAAGAAAAACTGCCAGAGGAGCTCGAGGCAGAGACCCCCTCCCTGATTTTGTCATCTACTTTTTCCCCTTTTCCTCCCCACCACCCCCCGCCCAGGTGACTGCTCACCTCCCCTTCCTCCTAGGGCTCTGAAGTCGAAGGCCCTGAGCCATGGACCGTATCTGAGGATCGGTTCAGCATATCTGGCCGGAGAAATTGGCAACATTTGCTACGAATAAAACCCAAGCGGTTCCAGCAGCCATTTTGAATTAAGTTTCCCACCCCGACAAACCCTCGTCCCTCCGCAGCACGTCCAGGACCTGGTGGAGGTGAAAGGCGCTGGGCGCGGGGGAGGGGTGGGAAAGCTCCTTCTTGTAGGTTCCTCCAAGGCGGCCGCGCGCGGAGCCCAAGGCTCGGGGGATGTCAGTAGCAGGCGCTCAGCTAACTTGGGGCAAGGACCTCTGTGGCTGCGGGACCGACTGTCACGGGGCTGCACCTAACTGATCCCTACCCCATGGCCCTTGGAGAGCCGGAGGCCCCTCCTCATCTCTCTGAACACTCCCCTCCCTTCGCGATACCCCCCACCGCCCCCCAAAGAAAGTTCCATCAAATGATCCTGCGGTAAAGCCTTTCATTTTGTCTCTGCGGAGTGGCAAAGCAGCTAGTATTGTGAAGGGCCTAGAGGTCGCTTGTCTTAGCCCATAAAAAAAAGAGAGAAAAAAATGCTTCTTCTAATGCCCAAGGAGGTGTCTCAAGTCTTTTATTAGGTCTCACAGCCCAGCTGGGAATTTAACAGTTTGGGGTCCTTTTCAAAGCTTCCCCAAATGTTCTATCCAAGAGCCCAAACCATTTGCACTTAACGCAACGAAGAGAATGCTGGGATTTAAACAAACCCATCGCACAAGGGACCAGAAAATAAAGCAGAAAGATTTTTTTCCCCCAGCGGGGAGGGTCAGCGTTGCATGATTTTTAAAAAAAATATATAAATTAATTAAAATAAAAGTTGCTTAAAGTAAAAAAGGGGTCCCCAAATTCATCAGCACACAGTAGGCACAAGTGACTTTCAAAAGGATTTTTTACTAGTGCAGGGTTTATCAGATGGCCGAAGACCCTGTGTAAGCCGCGGCCAGTAAGCCTTCAGCGAAGAGCACCCCGCATTTACTTCTTGCTCAATTCTGCAGGTTTCACCTTTAAACACAAAGTACTAAAACGTCTAGAAGTTTCTTATGTCTGAAACAATTCAGAGCGAGACCCTCTCCTTGACTTCAGTGGTCAAACCTCCTAAATGCAAAACATGCTCCCCTTTGCCTGACCTGCAACTGTCCTCCCTTGACTTTATTGTGCGCTGGCAGAGCCAGCATACGGTTGCTGAGTAAACTTAGCATGTCAGAACAATCGGTGGCTTAAAAGATTTTCCCTTAAACTAAAAGTTTCATTCCAACACAAAGGCGCCTACATTTAGAAACCCCTAACGCTCTCCAAGCGAAGTCGAGCGAGGGAGGACTCCGACCCGCTGAGCTTGAGTCTGAGAGGGGATGAAGAACCTTTAGGCAACTTCTCCGGCAGTGGGGCCCCTTTGCAGCCATCACGGCGTTGGAGCCGGACGCTGAGCCTGCACGGAGCACCCGTGGAGATACCGGGCGTCGATGACCGCAGGCCGCCTCCCCAAATTTTTCACGAAATGCGAATGAATAGTCACCAGCTCTATACCTCCAATCCAGAAAACTCTAACCTTCCAGTTACCAAGGGCACAGGGAAAGAGTGGAAGCATCGCGTCTCAACTACTTAACTGCTTGCCCATTGTACCTACCCATAAATGGCATCTTTATCTCTCTTTAAAGCGTCATTGACGGAGGAGCCCATGCTGGGGGCCATGGCGTTGGTATGAGCTGTGTGCGGGTACTGATGAGAGTGCAGAGGAGGCCCGTGGTTCAGATGGTGGACCGGCTGCATGGACCTGGCTGCATGCGGGTCCCCATACATCGTGGAAGGGATGCCTACTCCATCCATGCCCCCGTAATGGGGTAGATCGTCGTACTGCATGACAAACAGGAGAGAAAGAAGGTTCAGAAGGCCAAGCAGGGGCACGGCAGGCAAGGCTCCGAGCGAGCTTAGATAAAGTCAGTCCAGCTGGATCCTTCAACCCGGAATTCGGTGGCCTTGCATCTTTAAAGTTGAGATTTCTGTTTTAAAAATAATTTTTAAAGTAAAAATTCTAGGATTCTCTGTAAGACTTCTTTGAGATGAAGGTTCTTGCCCTAACTTGTGTCCCTATCAACTAGTTTAGAAATTCAGAATCCTTTGGCAAGGAAGGAAGGAAGAAAGAAGGAAAGACAGAGAGGCATTCTCCCGGAGGGTGGAAGGTAAAGCGTGCTTGTCTCTGGAGGAGGAAATTGAAAATCACAATAATAAAACGTGCCAGGACAGTGCAGCAAACCCGCCTAGTTTCACAGCCCCTTCACATCAGGGGGATTTTTTTTTTTTTTAAAGTTATGATGGGAACAGATACGCCAAGCACCTGAATACAGACAGGCTTCTCATTTTATTTCCCTGCCAGCGTGGGGTTGGGCAGTCCTGCAAGACACTGCATTTCCTTCGCTTTCCAAGACAAACTCTGCTAAATTATACAAAACGATCTGATCCCCTTACATGTGAAACTCAAGTTAGGGTAGTTTTTCCTGTACCTTACAACTGAATTTAGATTTGGGCAATTTCCCTTCAAAGTTAAAGGAAATCTATAGTTGAAATAGTTAATATTCTTAAAAAAAGAAAAAAGAAACTCTTACAAACTTTCTCCTTGGACTAAAAGTCAACTTGGCAAATGTTATTCATTAGGTTTAAAGCAAATTCAAAAGCAAATGCACATACAATGCCATCTTATTCTTCTAGGAAAACTACTTTCATATTAATTGGCATTTTTTATGTGTATGTGCTAAATTTAGCTGTTTAGGTTTTCCTAACTGCTTCATTTTAGGCAAGTTCTTTTCCCAAGATTTGGAGGTGCTGAGAGTGAAATGATTTTCAAAGAAAAGAGGAATTGCCACTTTCATCTCCTTAAAGCCAGAGGTGTGAAAAGAGTTTGGAAGAACGCTGACATTTGCCTGAACCAAAGGAGTAAAGAAAAATGTGTCAGCCTAGTAACTTTCTTTTGCAAACAGGGCTTTGAGGGCCAGGACACAAATTATGCAAGGAAGGCTTTTTGTAGACCCCCTTTCTTTTAAGAAACTACCTCAGTTGGGTTGTCATTGTCTCACTTTACTCTCACTGCATTTCCATTCAAATAGGAATATTGGGGAAATTAGTATTGCATTTTAAAAATAAGTAGCTGTGTGCTTAGTATCCAATTAGAACAGGGCTTATCTAAGAAAAACTTGCAAAGTATTCCTTTCATAAAAGTCCATGCAAATTAAAATTAGTTTTAACAGATGAATGTTTTTCCAACCAAACCCCCCACTACACTATGACTGTTATTTGCTTTTAAAAGTGAAATACTTTTAATGATATTAAAGATGAGCATAATCAATAACATATCAGAAGTTTCCAACTGCTTATTTTAGTTTAAAAATAACTTTAAACTTTTGATCCCTGAATATTCAAATTGCAGACTTGTGTATCTGTTTGTTTTTTAAAAACAGATGATTGCTCAAGAGCTTGTATTTTTATTTATATAACTGTTGGGTAAAAATCTACAGAAAACTTGATTACTTGAATTAACAGTTACAAGCAACATACATAAGTCTACTAGTGCATTGAATAAACCCTCTCGCTTTAGGCCACGGCTTTAGGAGCCTCATTTAAAAAGAAAGAAAAAGGAAACTTTTTAGCAGTGTCTTTCAGCCACGTTTCAATTTAATCTTACATTTTAGTTCCACAATTGTTTTTAAATACGTACCCTTTGCGCCATCGGCCTCTCTGGCTCCCTTCCTACTTCAACTTCTAATATATCCTCTTTAAGGCCAGTGTGAAAAGAAACAAATATGCAAACTCCCCGGGAAAAAAAAAAAGAAAGAAAAAAGAAACAAGCACGACGAAAAATTCCTTAACGTCTCCAGCAATGTGAACTACTGGTCCCAGATCTTCGGTCTACCGGACCTGAAGCAAAGCACCCGAGTCACTGAACATAAAAGCGCTCCGTTTCCAAGACAGCAGCGGGGGCAAAAGAAAAAAAAAAAAGAAGAAGAAGAAAGAAGAAAGAAAGAAAGAAAAAAGAAAGAAAGAAAAAAAAAGAACAGGGCTTAGATCTTCTCTCCCCCAAAAAAATCAGTTAAAAAAAAAAAAAAAAAGAGCGCCCCTCAGACCCAGCTACCAAATCTCATGGCTTTCTGCCACTCCAGCTGTCAATCACAGGCGAGGTTGTCAACGTGGTGAATGAATGATCATCCGCTCTGTCTTCTTCTGGTCAGAACACCTCAAATGTTAATATTCAAATGCACAAAGCCCTAGCGCTTGCTTCCCTTGAATCAGTCCTAATTCCTAATCAGTTTCTCTCTTCTCTCGCTCTCTCTCTCTCTCTCTCTCTCTCTCTCTCTCTCTCTCTCTCCCTCTTTGCAACTGCTGCACTGGAGGGAGATTAGAGAAGGAGGGTTAAAAAAAAATGTCTGTCTGAGTTTGTCTTAAAGGAGCCACGATCGATGCTGCCCGCTTGCAGTCCCCGTGCGTGTGTAAAGTGTGTGTTGCACAGGCGGAGAGGTGGATTCCGACCAGAATGCTAGAACCCGGAAGTAGTGGTGGCCATAACAGGTCGCGTCTTACACAATGCATTGGGCTGCAGCAAGTAGGCTCCTCGGCAGGGGTGGGTGCGAGAAGCGAGCTCTGGCCGCACTGGAGAGGCAGAAAGGCGCTCCATTAAATCGCACGCCCAGGCACAAACACCACACATCCAGGGCAAACGCACACTAAGGCAGGCAGCAGCTCCCGGCCACCGGCCTTATTTTTCGTATTTTTTTCCTCTTCCTCCCCCTCCAGACTCTCTCCCCAAAGCGGACGCACTTGAAATAAATTGGGAATAAAAGCGGGGCAGGCAGCAGCGGGAGTTATTTTGCACAGGGTTCCGCGCATAGACTTCAAGACTTTCCTCGAAATTATTGGGGTCTGCCAGTATTTTTCGGGGGAGAGCGATGAAGCGCAAAGTACAGAATCCTCAAAACTAGCACCCCCCGAGGAGAAAAGTCAAACCCGGAGCAAAGAGAAGAAGAGAGAAGCCTAAGAGGGACTGGGAAAGGCTCTGCTAAGGAGTCCTGAGAACGTGGGGTGGAGGTAGCTTGGGCTTTCTGCAGACCCAGCTTAGAGTTTTTCCGCTGTCAAAGGTGGACGCCCGGCCGAAGGAAAGGAAATGCTTGCATTTTGTCACTTTGGGTCTGGACGCCCCCACCTCCTCACTCTGGCAGCCCCCAGCCCAGCCCCGTCGTCCTGCGCAAAGTGAGAGAGGAAGGGAGGGAACAATGAGCTGAGTGCTGGGAATGTGCCCCCAGCGCCTGTTTACAAACACCAAGCTATTTATGATCGCCGGAAAGCGAAACCTGACGCGGGCTCAGAGCAGCCCAGACCTTGCGGGAGGAGCCGAAGCCCGGGAGCCTCCAGGAGGAAGGCTCTTTCTCCGACCCGCTCCGGGCGAGGTGGCTGTGCGCCCTGGGCGCGGCGCGACGGGGCCGAAGCGCTCGGCTAGAGCTGCGGCAGCAGCCGCCTTTGTCTTCGAGGCGCCGAGGAGCTCCAGTCTTGGCCTCTCTCGGGCCTGGAGGGGCTCCGCGCCCCCACCTCTTTCCCTGGCGACGCCCGACGCGTTTCTCCTCATTTCTCCATCCCCGCACTCAGCTTTTCTGTCCCCAACCCAGCTCAGCGAAAACTCCTAGTGCTAGTGAAAAAGAAATCCACCTCGGGAGCTGAGATTTCAGACAAAAGCTGCCCGTACCCACAAACTCGAAGTCTTCAACCAATCACTGGTTTTAACTTTCTCCCTTTAAAAACCTATTCTGTTGGGTTTAAAATTTGTTCCTTCTTTGAATACTCCCACTCTGAACTTGCCCTTTAGTGTTATACTTAATGTTATTTTCGTCTTTATTTTTTCTGCCGGCCAGCTCTGATCAGCCTAGATGGTTCAGCCACAGCAGCTCTACTAGCAGCTGGAAACCTCACATCCCAAACAGGGCTCGCAGCTCGCTCGGCTCGGAGAGGATTTTTTCCCCTCCCTCCAGCTGAAACCTCGCAGAAAACTCCCCCTGCGGTCGACTGGAAAATGAGCTCACCCAAATCTCGGTAGGCAGCCGTGGAGGAGGGCTCCGCCAATCAGAAAGCGCCCCCGCCCAGGCGGCCGCGCATTGGCTGTGGGGAAAATCAATTATCAAATAATCGATCAGCAGGGAGCTTCGATCTGCCGGGAATGCAAACTGCCAGTCCCGATTCCCGCCCTGAAGGTGGCCAAAAGGCTGACTCCCTCAAAGCAGCCGGCCCTGGCTCCCAACGCCCCCACCCCCATCCCACCCAGCCAGCTGCGGACCAAACCCTCACCCCAGGGAAGAGGGGTAGTGGAAAGAGTTTTGAGAAAGATTAAGGAGTCTCTTCAGGCAGAGATTGTTTGGAAAAGGTTAGAAGTTCCGAAATGTATTGAAGTCAACTCTTAGGCGCAAAGTAAAAGAGACTGGTGCATCTGTCGATGAGATAGAACTCAAGTTTCTGTTAAGTGGGCTTCTGAGAAACTGAGGACACAGCTCTATTCCAGAACAGAGAGCTGGAATCTGATTCCACCAAGTGCACTGTAACCTCCCTTGGCGACTTCTATGGCTTCTTTTAGCATTCCACACAATGACGGGTTGCTTTACCCCAATAGTGGAGCGTGTCCATAGAGCGGAGCAGAGACCTCCCAATCTCCTGTACGCCACCCCTGACCCCAACACCGAACTTATTCTATGTAAGCCTGAAGGACTGACACAAGTTCACCCCAAGTCTACAGATTCGCTTTGCCTTGAAAGAGATCCAACTGTTGGGGAAAAAAAAAATCCCCCGGATCTCTTAACATTTGCTTTCCTCTTTTGGGTCTCTTTATTTATTTATTTATTTATTTATTTATTTATTTATTTATTTAGTCTTCAACACTCAAATTTTAAGTGTTTCCCCCCACACACACACACACATTCTTGTGTAGCATTTTCTATTACAAATACCCACAATACTCCTTTGGGAAGTTGAGATAGGCCTATGAGTCAAAGCCAAGGACCAGGGGAGCCAGGTGAATTACCTGCGCCTTTGTGCCTGAATCTATTACCCCAACCCCTCGGCCTATTCATATGAACTTGAAAGCAGAATTTCAGGTCAAGATGGAACCTCCCGATCTCCCGAAGGCGATTTTTGTTTAATTTGGGGGAAGCTGCGTTGGCAGAGCCAGGCAGCACACTTCTTTTCTGAATATGCAGAGGACTAAGCTGGGCTGGCAGCCTGGGAGTCTTTCCCCAACTCCAGACTGTTTCGGCCGACACCTGAGCGCCTCCGGACGGCTGCTAGCTGGGGTGTGAGCGCTGCTTCTCTAGCCTGCCTGCCAGGCATCAACCCGACCTGGGGTAGGATGGGGACCTGAAGGGGCGAGGGTGTCAAACCAGACAACGACAAGGGCACATCTATGTTTATGATCCCTAAATGAACTGCGAGGGGAATTGTGTAATTGTAATTTAACTGAGAGAATTTACTTCGAAATACACTTTAGTTGAACGTGGTCTTTAACAGCCCCAGAGTTTCTCTAGCAGACTTAGGTAATGGGCTTGGAGTTACCTCAACCCTGCGCCCAAGTTTTCAAGTTTGAAAAAGGGTCAGTTTTGATTTCCAGTATATATTTTCGACAACAGGATTTATTTTGTATTGTTGCTTTCCAGTATTTTTTCTTTTGTCTCCTAGCAGAAATTAAATAAGAAAGTTCAATTAATTAATTCTTTTCAAACACAACCCAAATCTTCAAAGGTGGTGAAAAAAAAAACTAGGTGTATTTTAACCAAGATACGTCTGATTACTTCAAAAATGCACTTTAAATACCCACACAGAAATTTTCTTTGAAGAATGAGATAATTTGAGTTTGTGAGCTTAAAATAAACTCTTGTGAGTTTTGAAAAGTGTCTTTCCTTTTATAACTGTGAACCTAATACTACTTCTAGGCCTTTATACGATTAATTCTGAACAATCAAGGGACTAAAACACTTTTACAATATAATTACAGTAGTACAAATTGTTTGCCCAAACCTCATTCTGGATAAGGATTTTACAATTAGCAAACAGTTATTACAGTTGGGGCTTGCTGAGAGAAATTGCACAGAGGACATCTAGAGTTGCAATATAGTAGCCATAAAAAAAAAAAGCTACTCCTTTAGCAGGGCAGCAGTTAATCATCTATTAAAAGGAAAAAGTGAAGGGACAGTTTTAGGTATCTTAGCTTAGTAAACTATGCCCATGTTTATGCCTGTTCTGTGACTGTACCTCTCCTAAGTTTATTTCAAATAGTTGCTTTTTTAAAAGGCAATAAGCACATTTATTCTGCAATAACTTGACCTGGTGAAGCATTCTGGCACTTAGCACTAGCTCTTGTAATGCAGGCCTTCGATAATTCTCTGCTTTCCCTTGATATTACAGAACATCTTCCCAAAGACTAAGAACAGGGACTTAAAAAGAGGCAGGCTGAGCCCTTGGTCTCCATTGTTTATACCCTTCTATAGGGAGGCATTTAAACCAAGCAGTGCTCCTCTGGGTTGTTTGTACAGTCGTCTTGGAGAACTCCCCTGTAACTCTCTGTTCTCCTGTAGGGAATTGTGCCTTTGGAAAGGCCCATATCCTGAGTTAAGCTTTTGTCTCAAAAGTTCACACCAATGAGTCAGCTCAAAAACCTTCTGAAATTAAAGAGGCACCTCTTAAGGTAAAATGTGTGTGTATTTGCTAGCCCAGAATAAACAAAAGCCCGTTAATCAATAGAGTTTGGCAGCTGTGTTCACAGAATGATAAGAGTTTTATCATCTGCCACCTAACTTTAAGATGCCTGTTAAAATGTTATGATTGCTTTTTAGATTGTCCTGTGGTGTGGGAGCTTGGGATTTGTACTTCAAGAGCATCCATCCTTGGAATCTCATCCTCCACATTAGCATTTT